CTGAATTTCTTCAAGACATCAAGAGCATATTTATGTTGAGAAACAAATATACCAGATTCACATTGATGAATTTCCATGCCTAAAAAATAACTCATTTCCCCTGACTTGCGTTTAACATACAAGGTTGGCTCATTTTCACTCCTTTGAAAACCTTGTTGAAGGAGAAATGAATCAATCCTGCTGTACCAAGATCTGGGTGCCTGCTTGAGCCCGTACAAAGCCTTTTTAAGCTTGTAAACCTTGTCTTCATGACCAGAAATAATAAAGCCCTCAGGTTGTTGCACATAAATGTCTTCCTGCAAATGGCCATTCAAGAAAGCTGATTTGACATCCATATGGTAAATTGTCCAGCCAAAATTAGCAGATAAAGCAATCAACATTCTGACTGTATCATGCCGAGCAACTGGTGCACAAGTGTCACCATAATCAATTCCAGCTTGCTGAGCATATCCTTTCACTACCAATCTAGCTTTGTGCTTGTGAATGGAGCCATCAGGATTCATCTTGGTTCTAAACACCCATTTGACTCCAATGGCATTCTTTTCCGGTGGTAGGGAAGTTAATTCCCAAGTTTCATTTTTTGATATCATCTGCATCTCCTCCTGCATTGCATGCCTCCATATGTCATGCTTGGAAGCTTCTGCATACGTGTTGGGTTCTAAAACAACCAGGTTGCATCTTTCATAAATTTCAGACAAGGATTTAGTTTTCATAACAGGGGAATCATGGTGAGCATCAACATCAGCTACATTAGAAGCTGAAATTTCCTCTTTGGAAGCTTCTACATCATCCTTGACAGAGGCTATATCACCATTTTTCACAACAACTCTCTTGTCCCAATCCCAATGAGAATCTTCATCAACTTGTACATCTCTGTGAACTGAAATTTTTCCAGATTGCAAGTTGTATACCCTGTAGCCTTTTGATTTTGTAGAGTAACCCACCAGAATACCAATTTCAACTTTAACATCAAGCTTGGTTCTCTTTGCATCAGGCACATGAGTATAGCAAATAGAGCCAAAAATTTTCAAATGATGTGCAGAAGGCTTAACACCAAACCAGGCCTCAATAGGTGTTTTTCCTTGCACAGCTTTAGTAGGCAAACCATTCAACAAATATATAGCTATATAAACAACCTCTGCCCAAAAATTCTTAGGCAGCTTCTTTTCATGCAACATACATCGAGCCATCTCCATAATTGTTCTGTTCTTCCTCTTAGAAACTCCATTTTGTTGAGGAGTATAAGGGACCATTAACTGATGTGCTATCCCTGCATCTTCAAAAAAGCTGTCAAACTCCTTTGAAGTGTATTCTTTTCCATTGTCAGATCTCAAGGTTTTGATTTTGTAGCCACTTTGGTTCTCAACAAGTACCTTGAACTTTTTAAACACAGAGAAAACTTGTGCCTTGCTACTCATAAAATACAGCCACGTCATTCTGGTGTAATCATCAATAAAAAGAATGAAATAGAGATTCTGACCAAGCGAAGCAATCTTCATTGGACCACAAACATCTGTATGAACTAGCTCAAGTTTCTGGCTTGCTCTCCATGAATTGTTGATTAGAAAAACTTGTTTATGCAGCTTCCCAAATTGACAGCTTGAACATACATCATCGTTCACATGAATTTCTTGTAAGTCTCTAACAAGTTCATTGGTTTGAAGGAACTTAAGAGACTTCAAATTGAAGTGACCATATCTCTTGTGCCATAAAGAAGTTTCATCAGATTTTGATACATAAACAGCATGCAAGCAAGGAGAATTCCACGTAATAGGAAAGCTATTCTCTACCATCTTGATTCTAGCAAGTTCGACACCACAAGAATCATAGATATAACATGCATTGTTGGCAAATGAAACTGAATAACCTTTCCTAAGCATCTGTGCAACACTTAATAGATTTTGACTCAAGGAAGGTATAAAGAGAGCATCATGAATATATTTTGTACCTTTCTTGGTCTGAACAGCCACAATACCCTTGCCTTCTGATTGCACTATTGAGCCATTTCCAAGCTTCACTTTGATTCTCACTGACTTGTCCAATTCAGAAAAAATTGCTTCATTATTTGCCATATGACAGGTACAGCCGCTGTCCACAAACCATGAGCACTTGTCAACTGAACCGAAAGCTAGTGAAGCCATAAACAAGTGATCTTCAGTTGTGCTTGCTACTTGTGCTTGTTGCTGCTTTGGTCTGTACTGATTTTCCTTAAATCTGCAAAATTTCTGAATGTGACCATATTTTCTACAAAATCTACATTGCACTTGTGGCTTCCCTTTGTACCAACAATCCTTGCCATCATGATTAGTTCTTTTGCAGATCGGACATGTAGGAAACTTATCTTTCTTAGATGGCTGATACTGTGTAGCCACCATTTTTCCTTTATCTGCTCTTCCATATTACTGCTTCATTTCAGAGGATGGTGTTAATGGCTTCCACTTCAGCAAAGCTTAGAAAGCACTTTCACGAGCAGCCATGTCTTCCATTCTAAAAGCAGTCCTTTGTTCATGAACCTGCAACTTGCTGATCAGTTCATAAATAGTAAGAGTCTTCAAATCACACGACTCTTCTATAGCTGATATTTTTGGCTCAAACTTCTCAAGAAGGCTCACTATCATTTTTTCCACAACTCTTTGGTCTGGAAAATCTTCATCATGCAATCTTATTTGGTTCACAACATCCATAAGCCTGTTGGAGTACTGATGAATGGTGTCAGTCTCCTTCATTCTCATCATTGCAAACTCCTTCTTCAAATTCACAATCTTCTGGCCTTTAATCCTTTCATCACCCTCAAATTCCTTCTGGAGTATTTCCCATGCTGCTTGTGCCGTTTCTGCTCTCATTATTCTGGGAAATATCTCATCTGCAACAGCACTATGGATGAATGAAAAAGCCTTGTATGAACCAGCTACATACTCTGCATGTTGCTTTATTTGAGCTACTGATGGATTCTGAGGCAACCGAGGTGGATTAAAGCCCTTTTCCATAGAATCCCACACATCATTTCCCTTAAGAAATGCCTTCATTTTGATGGCCCAAACATCATAATTCTTCCCTGTAAACAACGGAGGGTTTGACAGGGAACCACCATGCTGACCTGAAGAAGAAGACATAGCTGTGATAGTTAATTACACAGCACACTCCCTCACATACACTCGTGTTTCACTCTCTCACAAGTCCCTCAAGAATGCTTGCTCTGATACCACTTTGTTGGAGTTCAGAAGCAAGAAACAGAAGGTGAAAATCAAGCAAAGAGCAGAAACAGAGGAAAAACCAAAAAATAAACATAAAGAGGGAACATGAAGACCATACATGCTTCGGTCTTCTCCTTTTATTGCATATATATTTTGTACATTGATAGTAGGTGAACAACTTAACAAAAGATCTTGTACATATCATATTATAAGAAAAGATAAATTACAATGATATGATTTTCACCTACTCCAACTAAAGCAAAATCTAGTTCCATTTTGCTAAGTATCTAGTTAAAATTCAAGTCTTCAACAAAAAGCAACAATGAGACTCATAGTGATGTAGGACAGGTTAGGAAATATGGTGGTTTTAGGGATAAAGTAGCTTACTCTGGCAAACTTGGGCAATCCAACAAATCGACAACAGCCCTAGCAAATCGACAAAAACAACCCCAACAGATAGGAAACAACAACCCCAGTAAATCAGAAACAACAGTCCCAA